AACCTGTTTTAACCATTGCGTGCTAAACCATTTTTTACGAACTAATATGGTTCATATGAGTCAGATACCGACGGACCTATGGACTTTTGTTTTACGTGCTAGCTCTACTCGACAATTGTGTAGTAAAGAGTCGTCGTCATTATTATTAATTTTCTTTTGATAAGTTGTTATTGGTTATCCAAAAAAGTTGTTTTTCTTGTTATTAATATTCTTTTGATAAGGTCTATTGTTGTTATTATTATTGGCATCTCCTTGAAGCTTCTAGGTGAACTTTTGGTTATTACGAATTGCATTCTAGAAGTACTTGCCTCTGTCAAATGGTTGACTAATATGCATTGAATGGCATCTCTTTCCAGGATAATTTTGGTAGGCTGCATGATAGAAGCAAAGAAACCCCCAAGACAATGAAGCAGCTCACCCGCCTGTTCCCCAACAAAGTTACCATACAGATTCCTCAGGTAACTTTCAGTTTATGTTTAGACTGCCAAGTGCCAACTGTATTAACTTTTGATTTAAGTATGTAATATGGATCTTCTTGTGGCAGGATGAAACCTTATTATCAGACTGGAAGCAACAGTTAGATCGGGATATGGAAACTATGAAATCTCAGTCAAACATAGCAAGCATTCGCAATGTGAGTGCTCTATTCTGACCAGCTATGGGCAAAAACCTTTTATCTTAGATCCCTTCATTGTTTTTGGGTTGTGGATTATGTAGGACACATAGGCAACACCATGAACATTTCTTTAGCACTTCAATTTTCATTTTCTTACTGTCTTGTCCTGGATTCAGCTGAAAGGCTGAAACCACCTTCTCATCAGTGCATCCCTTGCCAGAAGAAAAGTTAATTTTACTCCACCACTTGTGGAGTTAGCATAAGATAATATTTACAATTGACAGTTTATGATGATTTGTATAAGAAAGATAAATGAGTATGATGCTTATGGAAATGTATCCTCAATGAACTGATTTATTGAGCTGTTCTAACTATATGTGCGATTTCAGGTTTTGAATCGAATCAGAATTGATTGCCCTGAGCTGGAAACTTTATGCATAAAAGATCAAGCCCTCACAAACGAAAGTAAGTGTTTTCTCGTAGTTTTTGGCCTTTTAGCTTTGAAATCGTTTACTTGATTATAACAGTCTATCATATTTCTTGATGTGGCTGTCAAGGCGTTGAAAAGATAATCGGCTGGGCTTTGAGTCATCACTTTATGCATGAATCTGAGTCTTCTGTGAAGGACGCCAAGCTAGTTATCTCCGGTGAAAGGTCAAATTTAATTTTCACTCTCTAGTCCATAATGTTATAACATGTAAAGAAAGTGTCCTCTTATTTCACGTCTCTAGGGG